ATTATTACATTTATTGAAGTTTGGCGGAAGAGTGAGATCTTTGAATTTAATTAAGAGATCGGTGAAATTGGTTTTGTTATTAATCGTACTAATTGTCTCGTAATGGGTTAATTGAGACACACATCTGGTGCGTAAATTAGTTTTTGCATCGATTAATTGTTTGTTTTTGATGTCAACTAATAGATTAAATTCGTCGAGAAAATCTGCGCCAAGTATTGGCTTTGAAACGTCGGCAATTAAAAATGTCCAAGTAAAGTTACGTCGTAGTCCTAAGTCGACTGTGCAAGTGAAATGACCGAAAGTTTCTATAGGTGTGCCATTCGCGGCGAAAAGTCTATACGTTTCCGGATTAATTAACTTTTTGAAATAACTTTTTGGTAAAACAGAGAAATCTGCGCCGGTGTCTACTAAATATTTGCGAAGATTTGATCTATCAGTGACGAAGAGACGGTGAGATAAGTTGCTAGCCACTTCGCCTACCGTCGAGGGCAAAGTGGGTTTTAGTTTTCCGAACTGTTTGTGGAATTGTTGTCTCTCTTCTTGAATTTACATGGTTGTTCACACTTGCGTGCCATGGCACCGAATTTGTAGTGAAAATAACAATAGGGACTCTTCCCCCTAGATTTAGAGCGTGAACGATTTTTTGTTTCGATACCCCTAGACGAATGTGTGCCTTGCTTGTTATTTGATTTTAATTCGCGAATAGACTTCGATAGTTCATTGATTTGTGCCTTTAATTCCGAAATCGAAAAATTATCCGTTTTAATTTCATTGACATTCATCAATGTGGTTTGCTTTGGCGTTGTCAATTCTAAAATTTTATCGGCTAAATTGGAGCACGTTGTTAAATCGTCGTTAGAAATGGCTACAACGGCCCTGACATTCTCAGGTAATCGATCGATCCATAATGATTTTAACGCGTCGTCTGTGAGAGAATTTTTTGCCAAATCGCGCATTTTTCGTAATAAATGTGACGGTTTGTCGTCACCGAGTTCAATTTCAGTGAGCAAAACCCTTAATTTCTTTTGGTCAGACTGTGTATATTCATCAATTAAACGTTTTTTTATTGAATCGTATTTATCCGATGTGGGTGGATTACGAACCAAATCAGAAACCATTGATAAATATTGTGGTTCTAGTGCCGCGATAACATGATTGTATTTTGAATTGTCGTTAGAAATTCCTGCGTTTCTAAATTGAGCTTCCATTTGAATAAAAAATAAATCTGGTTCATTCTTCACGAATGTGGGTGCTTTTATTGTGATACGACTTATTTC